CGAGGCTCTAAATAATTGATAACGCTGATAAATAATAGATCTTGTATTTGCTCCTTCGCTGTCTCTGGCAGGGCGTGTGCGCTCGCAGCCCGGCGCTGCTGCATTAGGGTTACGGGGATGGGAGCGCGGCTGTTGGGCCGGGGTAGGGAGCTCTGCAGCGGGGAGAGCATTCCGGGGAGATAAAGGGCTGGTTTGATGTGTGTTCATGTGGCGGGGCTGTTTTGCCTTGCATGCCTTTCTCTTTTGCTTTATTTTTTTCCTGGAGTGAAGCCTGGCGCCAGCAGTCTGGAACCAGCCTGACAAGCTTTTGAGTTATGGAAAGGGGGAGGAAGGGGGGAGGAGAGAGAAAGAGGGAGCGAGAGAGGCAGGGAGGAGGAGGGCGAAGGCAGAGGGAGGCAGCTGGGATGTGGATTATTAGGGGAGAACAAGAATACACACAAGAGGCTGGTGGGGTGAGGGCTGGGGGCTACGGAGGCTTGCGGGGAGGGGATGGAGCTGGCTTCGAGCAAACGTTTCAAAGGAGATTTTTTTTTTATTTTTTTTTTTTTTTGCATGGAGGGGAGAGGGGGAATTGAGTCATTTTGGGCATGAAACGCAAACCTCGCCGCGTCAAGGAACAAGGAAGTTTTTTAAAGCGCCAATTAAAGGGCTCGGAGAGGTCCGGGGCTTTTAAACAGCCTTGGGAAGGGGGGGTTCCTGGCCGGCGTTCAGGCTGCCGTCCCATCAGGACATTCCTTTCTGCTGAACGCCGCTGCTCCCGGCCCTCTTCTCCTCCTTTTCCAAGCTGCCGTCGAATCCTTTCCAACTCCCGCGTCCGAACCCGGGGAACTTTGCTCCGTTTCATCTCTCGCCGCCCGCCTCCCCCCGGCCCCGGCCCGTGCTCGGCGCTTTGATCACTGAGCTGCCTGCACAGAGAGCCCCGAACCCCCGCACTCAGCACCCCCGGGACGCAGGCGCCAGCAGCCCCTCCAGCGGCTGGCATGGCCAAAACCTCCCCCCTGCCTTGATGGAGACCCCGTCTGCCATCACATCCTTGCTCGGGGAAGGCAGCTGCTGCAATGGAATCGGTCGCTGCAATATGGGTGGGGGGCTCAGTGCCCAAGGACAGGGACTTGGCCCCACAAAAAAGAGAGGGGGTGAATTTGCCCCGCGGGGGCTGTGAGGGGGTGGGTTAGGCAGCGTGTTTGGAAAGGTCCCGTCAGGGTGCCCACACCTGGAAAAGCCATGTGGTGCCCATGAGGGCTCCTCCTGTGCTACTTCAGGGGGCTCACGGGGTTGGCAGCAGCGTAGCCACGGTCTGGAGCAAATCCACTGGAGCAGGGGGATGGCAGGCAGGGGCTGCAGCAGCTCCGTGGTGTGTTTTCCACTCTGAGACCCCCTCATCGCCTCCCGTGGGTGTTCAGCAGCAAGAGGCACAGGAGGGAAGACAGCCTTGCTGCTTCAGCCCACCTTGGGAGCAGGGGGAGAGCCGTGGCACACCAGTAGTGCCGTGCCTGTGCTCCGGGGGGAATCCAGAGTGCTGGCCAGGGGACGGGGATTTGGAGCTGCTTTGCAGGGGCTTTGTTTGGTTTGGTTTCAGCGCAGCCTATTTAACTCCAACAACTGCTGAAGGCTGGGGAGAAAAGAGCTCTTTGTTACAGGCTGAACAGCCCCAGGTCTTTAACTCAGCTTGTGGGAAGAGCTCTGAGAAGTTGAGATAGCCCAAGGACGGGCTGATTTTGGGATGGGCAGATTTTATATCACTCACACCTCAAAAGTGAAGAATGAGAGTGAGGGTTTGAATACCCAGCTCCCAAAAAAAGCCCAGCACAAGCCCTGTGAGCACCACCACCATCTGCCAAGTCTTTGTCTTTGCAGAGGAGGTGGAAGGGGGAACACCCAGTTTTCTGAAATCTCCATTACAGGTTGCCTCTAAGCTGCAGCTCTTCACAAAAAAATACCTCTTTCTCTGGGTTTCCAGGAAGCAAAATGTTGCCCTCCGCTGTTTGCAGCGTTGCTGGAACAGAGAACTCGCTGCGTCCGAGCCAGTCCAGCACTTCACTCCAGTGTCACATCCGTGGCAGTGGTCAGAGGATTTGGAGAGAGACAACTCCCACCCAGCCCATAGATGCTGCAAAGACCTGCAGAAGGTCCTGTCATCCTCCCTGAGCCACCAGGAACGACGGCCTCCCACTGTCAGTGTGAGCTGCTCCTGCCCTGGCACCTCGGCACGAGACTGAGATGTGGGGGTTGGCCATGCTGGGTTGTCTTCACACTGAGGTGGATCCAGCCAAGACCAACCTCCTCACACATCGTGTTTCACAAGAAAACAGTGCAAAGCAGCTCAGTTGTGCATCCTTGGTCCAAAGTCTTCATTTTTCTCTTCTCTTTTTACTTGGTGACTCTTCAAGCTCCTTCTGGTAACTTTAGAACTATGCTGGCAAAATTGTCCCCCAGTTCCTTGCTAGAGATGCAACACAGATGGATTCATGCCTTTTATAGACCTTCAACATCTGAGTGCTGGGAGTCTTAAACCACTAAGTGGAGGGAGTTACTACTTTTTTTTTTTTTTTTTTTTTTTTTTTTTTTTTTTTTTTTTTTTTTTTTTTTTTTTTTTTTTTTTTGTAGATGTGGAAACTGAGGCATAGGCTACTTGTCCAGGTGAAAAGAAGTCAGATTTTAGGGGCCAAGGGACACAATTTCACTTGGAAATATTTGCTGCATCAGCTTCCCTAGCATTTCTTGAGATGTTTCCATGAGGGAGGAGACCCTTTCTCTCTTCTTCTTGCCTAGAAAGAATCAGAAGTCAGGGACAGAGCTGATAACATGGCACCATGGCCTGTCCCCAACCCATGAATTCCCCACTGGCACAAGGGGCAGCAGGCAGAAATAAAACACAGTTCAGGACTGGTGGAGCTGGGGGAGTTGGGGAAGAGCAAGATGAGTCTTGGTGGGGAGACCATCCTCACCTTTCATATTCTAATGCCTTGCCTTTTCCTGATTTGTGAGCTCCTGGGAGTCCTGCTGGGAATTCGCTGGAACGGAGGCACACGCCGCCGTCCCTCGGTAAATTACACAGAGATATAATGAAGGAGGAGAAATCAGTTACTCTGTGACTGTGGCTCCCCAGGGGACCTTAATTCAAATATTTGTGGAGCTGAGCAAGTGGGGCGTTGGGGAGCCGCTGAGTTGGAGTGTCTCTCGACAGGTTGCTTGCAGGTAGTTGGTGATGGGGAGGCAGCACTGTGGGATACAGGATGCATTCCCAAAGAGACTTCATGTTCCTGAAGCTATCCTTAGGGTTAAGGTTAGGGTTAGATGGAAGAAGAAGATACTGGGGAAGGTGGGGCTATGGTCTGGCTGTAGCTGCCTGCAGAACGGAGGTGGGCTCCAGCCTGCAACTGGTGGCTGTTGGGATGGGGCAGCCCTGTGTGTCCCTTTGCCAATGGCTCTGAACGGTGTGAGGTGATGGGGGCACCTGCCCATCACCTGTGGCTGGGTTCTGCATCATCTCTCAGGGAGGGATGGGACAGTGACCCGAGAGGGATAGGGAGGAGCAGGGTTTGCAAAGCAAGGACAGTTTTCTGCTGCCCACGTGGCCTCTGTTTTCAGCACTGGAGGTAGAAAGTATTAAGCACTGCATGGCAGCAAGGAGAGTGCAAACCCCACATTGCTCAATTTAGGAACGAGATATCGATTTACCTCCATCTCCATTCCCTCTGTGTGCCCTTAACCCAGGCTTCCTGCCCCTCTCCTCAGCGCCTTGGACCTGAGAAAACAAATGGGGTCCAATTTGCCCAGCCAGCAACCTGCACCAGCAGCTGGGGCACAGCTGGGGGGGCAGCCCTTTGCTGGGTGCATGCAAGACTCCTTAGGTCCCACTTCACCTTGATGGACAAAGCAGTGGCTCCATCAAGGACACAGCTCTCACCTGCTGCAGCAGTGGGTGCTTTTGCATGAGCATGGAGAGCTGAGGTGCAGGGTGAACTGGGGTGCAGGGTGAACTGGGGTGCAGGGTGCTCAGTCCCCAAGAAGAGGTGGGGGCTCATCTGTGGGGGCTGACAGCAGCTGTGTTCACCTGGTGCCATTCTGCACAGCCCCATTCTTCTCTTGGAGGTCCTACAACATCGCGCCAGCACTCAGCAGTGATGCTGCTACCAGGAGTTGTGTGTGTGTGTGTGTGTGTGTGTGTGTGTGTGTGTGAGACACATTTCCAGCTCTCCCTCGTGTGCCAGCATCACGCCCCCAGCGGGGGCGGTTTTGCCTCCGGCTGCCGGGGCTGCCGAGCGTGGCAGGGGCAATCCCACACCCACCCGCGTTCCCGGTCCTGCCACCAGCCGGCACCGGCGGCCTCCCCACGCCGCGGCCCCTCGCTCGCCCGGCGCCTTCGGGGCTGCGCGCACACGCGTGCGGATCCGCGGCACGCCAACTGTTGGGAAGGGGAAGGGAAAAAAAAAAACCCCACCGACTCAGCCGAGAGAGGTAGGGGGGGAAAGAGAGAGAAAGAGAGAGAGAATGACAGACTGCAATCCCCCTTGAGTGCCTAGCCTCATGAATATTAATAAGGTGGTAATTAAAATGCAGGGACACAGCAGGACGGATGCAGGCGCTGCCTTCGGAGCGCTGGGAACGGGGGGAGCGCGTCTTTCCAGGCAGGTTTTGATTCCGTTCTCTGATGAAAAGAAGAAAACGGAGCCTTCAACTTTAATCAGTTTAGAGTTTTTTTGACACGACATATCTTTAATTGCTGATATTTCTGCTCTTCTCAAACCCGGCTCCACCGACTCCAGTCTAAGAGGAGATAACGAACCACGCTGAAGTGCCGTGGATTCGTGCTGTATTTACGCCTCGACTTGTTTGCTACTTTCTTGGGGTTTCACCTCTCTGCCTGGGGTTGGAATGCACAGCCCTGCTGCCGCTTGCCTCTGCAGCCAGGTGTGAACGTGGAAACGCAGCCCGGCACCTCTGTCTAACACCCCCCTCCCAACCTGCTCCACTTCATCCTTAGGGAAAACTGGGGGGTTTTGTTGGTTTGTTTTTTATTTGGATAGTAAATCCTTTTTCCTGGGTTGGATATGATGCCACCTAGTCCAGGTGACAGGTTTGGAGGATGGGGGCATGGGTGGTTGGCAATGAGGATGGGTAGGGTTGGGTTGAGTTAAATCAGGTTGGGCTGGGTTGGAAATCAGATCTTCTGAGAGGAGAGTGTTCCCCTCTCCAGAGGAGGTTCCTTGAGGCTCCTGGGAAGGCTGTACAGGGCAGGCTCCGAGGTCTGTAAGGAAGGAGAACCAAAGGGTTCATCTTTCTTGGAGAAGGGAGTTACTGCAGTGGGTCTGGTCCATTGGTGGAGAACCATGTCGCTGGAAAAATGAATGGAAAGTGTTGCTTGGTGCCCAGATGGAATGTCTTGGGTGGGAATTGGACCATACCAACTCAAAACAAGGGTTTGGTAGGCAATTTCTGGTAAAATGGAAAAGAAAAGAAACCACAAAATACCCCATTCTGGTGTAAGCAATTGTTTTAGGTAAAGCCAGAATCTTTGGTTTAGCCTAAAATGTTTTTATTTTGTTCTGTTTGGGATTTGCCTAATTTACTTAGATCTTTTCTTTTACATTGAGACAATTTTTGAATTGAAAAAAAATAGGCTTTTTTAAAATGAAGAAATCAAGAAGATTCTTTTAGAAAATGCCAAAGTACAACAGATCATCAGGTGACTGATGGGAGAAGGTGGTTTACATCTTCAAAGCCATCTCCTTTGCCTGGCACTGGTATTTCTTTTTTTCATTCCAAAGACTTTTTCAATTTCACCCTGAGTTTCAGGATGATTCAGCCTTTTTGAATCTTCTGATTGTTTGTGAATTTACTATTCCCTCAAAATCAAACAAAGAAAATCCCCCTCAACTCCTAGAAAGATGACAGTGACCAAGAGAGTGGAGCACAGTGCAAGTCCCCATCACAGCCTCCCAGCTGGTGCCTCCCTGCCAGGGTTGGAGCTGGCCATGGAAAGACAATGGGGACACTCCTGGATCATGGATGGAGGATAAGGTTTTGGCCCACCTTGGAGACAATGTGCTACCCAGAGAGCAACTGAGTTTCGGGGCATTGCTGTGATGTGTTGGTTTGCTCTTGCATCCTCCTGAGTCCAGAGGTGTGTCCCAGAAGGATATCCTGGCCCCCAGACTTAACTGCACTCCTGCAGTGCTGTTTCTCCATCCCAAGCTTTGGAATTTTCTCTCCCCTGGGAACATGTCCTTGTACCCTACCTGTGGGAGAGATAGAGAAGAAGTGCTGCAACATCTTAGCCCCCTTGAGATTTTGCTGTCTAGTGTTGGAGCTGTTGGTGCAATAGGTTTTTTTCCATGGTGTTTTTCTGTAAGAATGTGGGATGACCTTATCTGCCTGGGGTTTGGGTGTCCTGAGTGTCCTTGGATGTCCTGGGTGTCCTGGGCTCTGTCCACAGCAGGCTGACATCTCCCTGCTGTCCTCCCCCATAGCAAGGAAGCAGCTGAAGCAGAAGAAGCTTTGGGCTTTACTGGATTTAACAGCTGTTAAATCCCCTTTTGCTCTGTTTTTCCTCACCCAAGGTAAATCATTTCCCACATGAAGGGAAGGCTGGTGAGCCCGGATGCAGGTAGGGGTTGGGAATTCAGTTGAGCTCCTTGGCTGGAAGAACAGGTAATTCTGCAGGAATGCTAGCTAAGTTTGCTTTCCTTAGCCATGCTGGAGCTGTGAAATGTGAGGGTGAGCTGGACACCCCATCAGGGATCATGGCCCACACAGGTGAGGGACTGAGGGACTAGGAGATGGGAGCTACAGGGAAGACAGCACCCATGGAAGGGGCCACCTTGGAATCAGCCAGCCTCAGCTTGAGGGGCTGGTGGATAAACAAAGCTTTGGGTGTTTGGTAGGGGGAAAAAAAAATTTCCTGTGTTTTTTCTTCCCTGCTTCTCCTCAATCATCATCTCCTTTCTTCTTTCCTGCAGCACTACAACAGCTGGTTTGAGGCAGGACAAGGGGAAAGTCTAGCCAGTGTCTGAGCTCCCCTTCACCCCAAACTGCTGCCATCCAGTCTTGTGCTGAAAAAACCTTGGGAAATATCAGCTGTGCCCTGCAGGTGGGGTGAGGGGGCTGGGGCACTGTGGTGACAGGGACAGCCCTGGGCAACAGCCTTGGGCAGGTTGGGAGTGCGAAAGCCTGGGGTGGATAGAGGGAGAATGATGTTCCCCCCCTCGCACAGCCCCCTGAATATCAGGCTAGCCCAGAGGTCTGAGGCTGTGAGGGGAGGAATATCAGGAGATGGCAAAGATTCCCAAAAGAGGCTCTTACCCCAGATATGTTGGTTCAGCTCTCTTTATTCTGTGATGTCCATGTGGAGAGCGGGGCAAAGAGGACGAACAGGAAATGTCGGGGGTCTATATAGATTTTGGACAGGGTGGGCTTCCCTGGCTCTCCGCCAACCCCATTGGGGCAGGACGGAGGGGTCCAGGGTAATCTTGATCAGAGTCACAGGGTCCCAGGGAAGGAGAATTAGAGTGCCCATGAGCTCACTGTAACAGGAGAAGATATCACCGTGCTGTTAAGAGAGGATTTAGGTGGTGAAACACAAATGGGACCTGGTGACTTGTGTGGGGAACAGAGGTTGGTCTTGGGCTTAGCTGTGAGGAGCACGGGAGGGCACAGGATGGGCCCCAGGTACTGATTCCTGGTGACACCGCTCCGGCAGTCCCACTCACCCCCGAGTCACATCCTGCTTGTGCTGGCTCATGTCTCATCCTGCTGCCTGCAATTTCTCAATCCCTTTCACTCCTGCCAGCGTTTCCTGGCTGCTGAGGTTGCTGCAGGGCTTGTGGGACAGGCAGTGCTGGAGGGAGCTCCCAAGGCACTGGAGAATTTGGAATAGGGGTGTTTTTGCTCACCTAGGGATGGTCACAGCCTGCGCTGCTCTGGCTCCTGGCTGTGTCCTGCCATCAGTTCTTTCACACCCCGACTGTCACTGTGTGGAGCCACAGGGGCTCTGGCCATGCATCTCCTGGTGCAGAGTGAGGGCTTGCAGGTCCCCCACACACCCATCCTGTGCCTCCAGCCAGGGCAGGCAGCTGAGTTAGGAATGAACTGGAGACTTATTCCCTCCTGTCTCCTGCCCTGAGCCCTGCACCGAGCTATGGCTGTGCTGGAGAGCAGAGCTGGAGCTGCAGATCCTGCTCCTGCGGGGCTGCCGGTGAGGAGCCAGCCTGGCTCACAGTCCCAGGCTGAGCCGTGCTTGGGTCCTGCAGAGAAAACAAACACTGAGCTCTATCCTATCCTATTTTACAGCAGAACTGCCATTTAAGGGAGGATTTAGAGAGAAGACATCTTCTTCTTTCGGATCCCTTTTGCAACGCTGGACCTCGCTCTAGAGAGCATCCCAGCAGCTAAGGGGTGATCCTCTGGCAGCTGCTTTCCTGCAGTCACCGGGTCCCTGCCTTGTTCCCAGTGCCCTCTCCTCCTCCCCAGCCCCATCTCCGGAGGGGCTGCACTTCCAGCTCTCCCGGCAGCGGCTCCGGGAAGGGCAGTGCCCTCCTCCGGGACGCTTTGTGCCCTGGCACCGGCGCAGCGGGGCTGAGCCAGCGCCGGGGGTGAGCGGCGGCCGAGCCGGTGCCTCTTGGCTCCGCTCGGCGCTGGGGTGCTGAGCTGAGGATTTCTGGCCTTGGAGTCCTTCTGCATTGGCCAGGAGATTTCAAGGGGAGTTTTTGGCCGAGCAGGGAGATGCTGCAATACACCAGCAAGCTGGAGCCTCGAGGAGGTGGGAGGAGGGGGTCAGTTCTTAGCTCTGCCACAGACTCACTGGGATAACCTTGGTCAAGGCTTTCTGCTTTGCTTGCCCTGCCGTAAAAGCAGTGCCCTGTGTCCCACAACTGTGCTGGGAAATCTGCTTGTGCTCAGAGCCTGGATGGCAGCAGGGAGAGTGGAGGGGATTTATCCTCAGAGGAGTTTTCCCCCTGGCGTGGTTTTTACCCAGGTGTAACCCTGCCTTTTCTCCTGCTTCCTATTCCCTGTGCTGAAGGAAAAGCTGAGTCCCAGCAGTGGGCGGAGGGCTGCCAGCTCCTGCCAGAGCTGCACTGCAGCAGGGCTGAGCCATGGCTCCCCGAATCCGGGGACCACTCCCTGCAGACCTCACAGCTGTGGGGCTGGAGCTGCTGGTCCCACTGTGACCCCTGAGCAGCATCGTGTGGGAGCGCAGCTGCCACCCTCACCCAGGCTGCAGGCAGGGGTGTGGGTGCCCAGGGAGCACCTGTGGCTGGATCAGGAGCTCCCACGGGCCAAGCACGGGACCAGGGCACTGGGGTGCTGCATTTTGCCTGCAGGAAGGCAGGATACCTCCGAGGGACCCCAGGAGGGTTATTGCACCCATGTAAGTTTGGGGCTGAGACCACCACCCGCCATGGGGTGCTGGCACCGTGCATCCCTTCTCCTCCATCATCCTCTGGGCAGCCCTCAAGGGAGCACGGTGGGGCAGGGACCCAGACCAGGGGTCCCGGGTGATGGAGAGAGGTCTGGGCTCTCCACTCCTTCCCTCCAGGGCACGCAATGGTTAAATTCCTTTCCAGCTGAGCTGGCAAGCAGAGCCCAAGCATATTAGTCAGATCCCTGTAGGGGGTGGGGAGGAGGAAGGAGAGAGCAGCGAGGAGGGGCCGGAGCGAGCCGAGCCGAGCTATTCTCCGGGGCGCGAGTGCAGGGAGGCAGGCGCAGCAGGGCTGCTGCTTCCCAGAAACTTGATTATTTTTAACCCAGGAAGAAGAAAGGAAGGAGGGGGGGGGGGGGGGGGACGGGAGGAGGAGGAGGGGGTAAATCTGGAGGAACTGGAAAACAGGCAGTTGGCATTTGCAGACAGCTTTGCAGAGGGGAGGGATGAAGAGCGGGAAGGTGAGCGAGGGTCGTGGTGTGGCACAGGGGTGCCAGGGCTGCCCATGTGCCTCCCCGCACGGCCCCGGCCCTGGCGCGGTGCTCAGGGCAGGACAGGACAGGATGCGGAGCCGTGCCAAGTCCGGCTGATGGGGTCCCTGCTGCGGCCGGAGAGCTCCGGAGAGCTCCGGCTGCCCGTGCCTTCCTCCGGCCCCTGCCGGCACACGGCGCTGCCCGGCGAGCAGGATGGAGCCGGCTCCGCTCCCGCCAGCCGCTCGCACACAGACAGCCCAGACCGGCACAGATAGCACAGCACAGCACAGCACAGCACAGACCGGCACAGCACAGCACAGCACAGCACAGCACAGCACAGCACAGACCAGCACAGCACAGCACAGACCAGCACAGCACAGCACAGACCAGCACAGCACAGCACAGCACAGCAGAGACCAGCACAGCTCAGCTCAGCTCAGCACAGACCAGACCAGACCAGACCAGCACAGCACAGCACAGACCAGCACAGCACAGACCAGCACAGCACAGCACAGCACAGCACAGCACAGCACAGCACAGCACAGACCAGCACAGCACAGACCAGCACAGACCGGCACAGCACAGATAGCACAGCACAGCTCAGCTCAGCACAGCACAGCACAGCACAGCTCAGCTCAGCTCAGCACAGCACAGCACAGCACAGCACAGCACAGCACAGCACAGCACAGCACAGATAGCACAGCACAGACCAGCGCAGCACAGCTCAGCACAGCACAGCACAGCACAGACCAGCACAGCTCAGCTCAGCTCAGCTCAGCTCAGCACAGCAGAGACCAGCACAGATAGCACAGGTCAGCACAGCACAGCTCAGCTCAGCTCAGCACAGCTCAGCTCAGCTCAGCTCAGCTCAGCTCAGCACAGCAGAGACCAGCACAGACCAGCACAGCACAGATAGCACAGCACAGCACAGCTCAGCTCAGCACAGCACAGACCAGCACAGACCAGCAGTGCACATACCCCTGCAGTTGAGGCTTCCAGATCCCTCCTGTCCCTGCTGCCGGGAGCTGTGGCCATTTCAGAGAGCTGGGGACACGCAGGGGACCCTGTGGGGCTTTGTGGGCTGCTGTGGGACCCTGCATCTCTCTGCAGGGCTGAGTCGTGGAGGGGCTCTGTGGGGAGCTGGGGCTCCCCAGGTTGCTCTGGAAGGCTCAGACTGCCCGAGGGAAGAACACTGGAAGTGTCATGGAGGAGAAGGCAAGGCCTTTCTTC